GTTTCCAAAGGTTTGAATCCCTGTGTTTGTGGAAAAAATAAAAAAAAAAAAAAGGAACACAAAATAACTCATTACATCCTGTCCTCACATGCTGTTTAAGTAAAAATTGCACTATTTATTGCTTTCAGGTTAAGGTGGTTTTGTAATTTCCACAGTTTGATAGCCTTGGCCCGGAGTCATACAATGAAAACAGGAATGCTTCTCAACAGTGCGGTGCAACGCTGTTGGTTGTGCATCGAGAATGCAATACATTTGAAACACTGATTTGGTTGGTTGTAAAATTGTGGTTTTAGCGCCATGCTACTGTTTAACTCTTCATAAAATCAAAGTACCGTTTGGGAAAAAAAGCTACTATTACAAATTGTAGAGAGGACACCTTTTAAAAACTAAGATTTTCTTTAAGATCGAACAAATTCCATTAAAAAAAGTCAGTATTTTAGCAAACAACCTCATAAGTGGCACAATGAGAATCTATGAAGTATGTTTACGACACAAGTGAGGAAGGAAGACAGATAAACTGAAGAAACTTGCTTCCACTGCAGCTCAGTTTGGTCTCTTCACATGCATGCAAACAACACACAAACAAACGCTTCCTTCTCTCTGCTGGTTCAGCTGAAAGGAGGAATCTCCTCTCCAAACTTCACAAGGTGAGCAGCACTTTTGGCTTCATGGAGCACCTGTGTGTGCAGAGACAGACAGTGACACGGCTGTTTGTGCATGTGTACTGAAAAAGTGCATGTTAAATCTAACAGTGACAATTTAATTCATCTCGAAAATCATGTTATAGACCAACATTAACATGTTGTCACACATCATTCAGCGATTACAGGCCCCTGATCTGGGCGGCACCCACCTTGTTGTGGACGTATGACTCACAAGCGTAGCACCAGACAGAAAGGTCAGCGAAGCTCAGCACCATAGGGTGACCCGACACCTGCCCGTGGGTCACCATGTGCTGCTTCACATAACGCCCGCAGAGCACCTGACACCAAACATAAAAATAGTGCTTCAACCACAATAAGATTCATAAGTGATCTCTAAAAAAAAATAATGGGTCTCATTCACTAATAATTGTGTGGATTATTCATATTTATACACACAGAAGAACTTCTGACAAAAAAAAAAATTCCCATCTAATTCACAACATATAAATTTGTTCTTAACCATCATGTTGTTCTGGTGATTTTGACCCAGAGAAGATTTTCTTTTTTTTTTAAATAGTTCATGTTATCGCGTTGGATTAAAACTTACTGACTTTGTTCACACAGGGTGTAACAAATTCCCCAAAAACTGAATCATTTTTGTACTTGTTTTAGATTTTTTTTTCCCACCTTGTTACACTAGTGAAAAAAAATAAATAAATCAACCATGGCTTTTTTTGGTCAAAGCAGCCCACCAATACAATCAGAATCTGTCCAGTTGGACTCCACTCATATATATACATTGTCATTCAAAATACACTCACATTAACACTGTGTGTGTTTACCCGTTTAAGTGGACCAGTGGACTCACCTGTTCTTGACTGTTTGAGGAAACCAGTATAGGATATCTACAAAAACTAGGCATGCACCGATCATTATTTTTCATGGCAAATTCCAATTTTTTTACCAGCAAATGGGCCGATTCGATTGCTCATTTATTTTTCTTGAAGTAAGAGACAAGAAAGATTGAAAGACTACATGAACAAGATGTTTATTTGCTCTATTACAGGCTGAACTGGCCTTCTGTAGCCATTTGAAATTAGAGGCAACCAGTGCTTTTAAATCACATTCCATGAGCATTTGTTTTTGTTTTTTGTTTTTTTTATTAAATTGCATAATTTCAAGATATAAGGCAAACAGAGCAGTCTGACTTTAGCGTTGTGAAATTATGCTAAAATTGCAAATTCCCTCTCTGACAGCAGGTGGCGCTTATGGAACAGCTGCAATACAGTGTTTCCTTGGTTACTGCTGTAAACAAAGCAGTGCTGTAAAATGAAAAGGAAATGAAGCCGTCTGAAACCGTTTACGTTCAGCTCTGCCGCGTGGAAAAAAACAACAACATGATCATCCTGAACGACATGCACGCTTAGTGAATGAGACCCAATGTGCACCACTGTTGGCAGTGATAAATCACAACTCTAAACTTCATTCAGCACTCAGTAAGGCTGTTACATTAATGAGTTTGGCACATCTATGTGCTGTTTTTGCTGTGATTTTGAGCGTCATTAACTGTTACCTTGTGGCAGAAGAGGCAGATCCAGTTTTCTGTATCCCCTCCACACTCTTCACACGGCAGGAAGACATCGATGCCACCTGCGGGCACCGGTCGCACTGACTCCAAGTGTGGGCACCATGACAACGGGTCCACCACATACATGGTGTCCTAGCAACAAGAGCCACACGATTAGATCACCACTTAAATTCACATTAGTATCGCCCAGAGTACTGAATGACGCAACAGAATGAAAGCAAGAAATCTAGCTCTCTGCTACTCGGCAATTCAGCAACATAACTGCAACATTCTTAAATTTACCCATATGCAAATATCCTATCCTAAAAAATAAATAATATATATTATTTGTATTACTACTACATATATATTAGTATTTATCTTTTATTTATTATTTATTGTTATTATTACTACTATTAAATATATTTGTATATCATCAATAAACATACAATATTCTATATACATATAATTAATTTTTTATTGTTTTTAATATATATATATATAATTTATATAATATAATAATTTATATAATATATATTTATTTCTTTAATTTTTATTATTACTACTATAAAATGTTTATTTAGATATTTAATAGTAGTAATAAAAAAAAAAACATAACTAAATGTATGGGCCACATTTAACCGCAATGTTACTATGCTAACATAACTTTAGTACGTTACCAAATCCGTGGCTTGTGCTCCAAAGACACTTTGTAAGACTGACATCATAGTGGTGTGACCACCAGCAGCTTCCAGCACTGAACTCTCCTGATCATCCACGGCAGCTGACTTTCCAGAGACCACAGACTCTGGGATTGTCCGGTCCTGTTCAACAGAGCATGTTTGATGACTGAATACATTACTAGTGACCAAAACTTACTGCTAATGACATTAGAGAATGCTTACAGGTGTCTCTGCTTTTACAGCTGTAATCTCTGCATGCGTGCCATCTCCAACTCTGGCTTTCTCTGACTTGAGTTTTAGGGGTGAATCTGACTCCCGGCCTGCCGAATCCCTCTGTGGGTTGGGTTTCACCTTCCGTCTGGCTCCTCCAATGGGGACAGACGCTGGGCTGGGGTTAGATGAGGTACTTGTGTTGAGATTCAGAGAGAGCAGGTCCTTACTGAGCTCATCAAGGCCGGATTCCTCAAGATGCTGCGGTGTCTGTCCAGGACTCTGGGTGGACTGGCGAGGAGATTTCTTGCTCTTGCCCGCTGATGCCCGCTTGCCTTTCGATTTAGGAGACGGCAAAGCCAAACGAAGTGACTCTGGAACTGACATAAACACACAAACAAAAGCATGTTGCATTAAAATAATCATCCTGTTCGTACAATTCAATTCTTCTGAATTAGGAAGTACTTTTCGATATGCAAACTCACTCTGTATTCTCAAGGAGCTCCAAAAGGGGACGTGTGCACGCAAGACATTGTTAATGGTAACAGTGGCGCTGGTCTTCGGAGGGGGCAGATGGTCTAGAGACGGAGGAGAGTCTCCCAGCAACATACTGGTGCACATGGACATTGACTCAGAGATGGAGGTGAGGTTATATCCTCCCTACGGTGAAAAGGGTAAGACGACATCCTAAATGTTTTTGAAAGAAGTCTCTTATGCTCACCAAAGCTGCATTTATTTGATCAAAAATACAGTAATATTGTGAAATATTATTACAATTTAAAATTACATTTTTCTATTTGAATGTATTTTAAAATGTAGTTTACTCCTGTGATGCAAAGTTGAATTGTCAGCATCATTACTCCAGTCTTCAGTGTCTAGAAACACTCTCCATTGAAAAAGTGTAAAATGTGTGAGTGAATATAACCCACCTCCAGTATGACTAGCACTCTTCCTGCAGCCAGGCTCATTAACTGATGGGTGAGGTGAGCGTAGCCCTCTGGGGTCACCTGATACCCTCCTAACGGATCACCTCGTGCTGCATCAAACCCAGCAGACACCAGCACCAGCTCTGGGGCAAACTAGAAAACAGACAACACTATTCAGTTAGTTACATCAGGTAAAAACAAGCATATGATGTGCTTTTACCTCTCTGGCTATCGGCATCACTATGTGATGGAAAGCCGCCATGTATTCTGGGTCTCCCATCTTTCCTCCATTCCAGGGGATGTTGACATTGTATCCTGTGCCCTTCCCCTGCCCCACCTTGTCATAGTTAGCATCCTCTGAACTGGGGAAGAATGTCCCGTCTTCGTAGCGATGCAGGGAGATGTACAGAACACTGGGAGAACAAAGACATTTGATAGCTCAGCTTTGTGACTGATCTCAAACAATGATATTTATACATATGACAACATAAAGAGGACACATTAATAATGCAAACCCCTCTTGCCCTATCCACCCAGACAAAACAAAACTGCAAAAAATAGGTCATTTAGGAACATTCATGGTTATGATGCACCGACCATCACACTTTAGCATTGACTGTTTAATGAATGCAACTTTGTAAACAGGCTATTATTGAATGATGTGGCAGTTAAACACTATGTTGAGTGTGACCACAAATCCATTGTTAGTCATTTAAAATGCAAAGAGGTTGGCCAATCAAACAAAAAAGATAACTTGCAATCAGTAAGCAAAACAGCCGGTTTAATTCTCAGGGTCAGAGAAAGAGTCAATAATGCTTAAGCAAACTAAAATATGACTTTTTGGTGAAAGGATCGGCACCTGACTTTTGAATCCAGATTAGTGTTTTTTAATATTATTTATATACTATTATAGCATTTATTAATATTTTTCTTTTCTTTTTATGTTTTTTATATTATATTTTTCATTTTCATTTTAACTTTAGTTTGAGTTTTAGTAATTTCGTTGTATGCTTTTGTATTTTTACTAGTTTTAATATTATTTATATAGTTTTATTATTTTTTTAGTTTATTTTATTATTATTATTTTTAATGTATCTATTTAGCTTTCATTTATATGTAAGTTTTCCTTTTAGTAATTCTGGTCCTTAAAAATCGTTTTTTCCTCTAATATTTATATTTTATTTCAGCTTTACTTCAATTCACAAAAATAATTTGTAATAGTTTTAGTTTGAGTTAACAATAACAGCACTGGATCCAGACCACTGATTTTGGTTAACTGTGGGACTGGTCAAACCTGTCATCCTCCTCAAAGATGTGCTGTGTGCCGTTTCCATGGTGAACATCCCAATCCAGGATGAGGACACGCAGGGATTCGTGAGTGATGCTCTGGGCATAGCGTGCGGTCAAAGCAGCCGTATTAAAGAAACAGAAACCACAAGCTGTGTCTTTCTCTGCATGATGACCGGGAGGACGGACTATGGCCACGCCATTTCTCACCTACAGAACCAAACAAAAAATCAAGGACACCTGGGAACAAATTCAAGCCGTAACATTCTGGGATACATTATACTGAAACATGTTAAGAAGCCTGTATTACTTATAAAGATCCCAATATTACATACGTGGCCTGTGATTATGGCCTGTACAGAGTTAAAACACGACCCTGCGGCCATCAGGGCGCAGGTGTAGCTCTCATTACAGATGTAGATGGAGTTGTAATCGTTTCCCAGACGGTGCAGATCTCTGGGTTTCATGTGCTCTGTACTCTTTATAGTGCTTATATGCTCAGAACTAGCACAAGAGAGAAAAACAGACATGAATTTAATCAAATGCAATGTACAACATCAGTTTTAGTAAGAAATGACCACTAAATAGTGGATTGTGCAAATTAAATAATGACTTAATTTTGTTCTACATTAATGTGGTCGATATTGATTTACTCATTTGTCACCTGTGACAGAGTGCCAGCTCTTCTTCTGTTGCTAGGCGAGCTGGTATCTGAAGGCAACGGGACAGCAGACCCAGCTCCTCATGCCGGCAAAAGATGCGAGAAATTCTCTGAGGGAGCTCTGGATGATGACTGTGGGAATCAATACATCCTCATTATATATTACGTACAACCAAATAATCAAAACACACACAAAATGAGAAAATGTTCACTTTTCAGCAGTGTCACAGGGGTACAGTGGTGCTTATGTTATTAAAGCTCTCACCCATCCCACATGTTGTGATGAAGCATCATTCTCTGGTCGTAAACCAGCCCAGTGATCGGAGAGGAAACCTTCACTTCTGCACACACTGGAGCGGGCAGGGGAGTGACATCAGACAGAGGACCACCCTCTGAAGATCAAAGACACACATTCAAGAGCCGAAGAAAACATACAAACCTGTCAATCTTTCTATGGTGCCAGCTGTACTGAATAATTTTCGAACAAAAATGGTGATGAATGCTTTCTTTATATCTGAAGATGACAGAAGAAGATCATAAAAATCTTCTTCTTACCAAAAGTCTGAAGACTCTTCCAAAATGGATACAAGGCTGAGATGGACTCTGAGATGGACTTCAGAGCACTGCACAACAAAACATCAAAATAAAACACAACAAACAGAAACGTAAGAGAATGTAGGCAGATGTGTTCCTCAGTTCACTCACCTTTCACTCGGATCGCCAGGAGAGGTCAGATGAGGGCAAGGGTCACCCAGCAGTGACCTCACACTAGCACAAACACCCTCTGCTGTGGACTGGAGGTTATATCCACCCTAACAGATGAAATACTAGTGAGTTCGATGTTAACCACGAAGAAGAATTTTGTTTTTTTATGGCATAATGTGATCATACCTCAAGAGCCAGCACGAGTCGACCCTGTGCTACACCTTTCAGCATGTGGGTCAGGATGGAGAAACACTGTGGACTCACTCGCATCTCACCCTAGACACATAGAACGCTTTAAATAATTAACATGGAATGAGTTTTGGAAAACGATATTAAAGGGAATGAAGCGGAGCGTCTCACCTTTGGGTCACCAATCACAGAGTCAAAGCCAGCCGCCACTAACACCAGCTGAGGCTGAAACTGGGCAGCACATACACAAGAGATCAGTCATCATGAAACAATCAGATGTGCAGGTGGCTGATCTAAAAGCTGTACCTCATACGCCACTGGAAGCAGGAGCTGCTGGAAAGCTGTGACGTAATCTCCATCCTCCATCCCTATCTGGAGTTAAATCAAGAGATCAGGCCACATTCAGCACCAACCCACCACACTTCTGAAGCATGTTCATTTCTCACTTACAGTGTTAGCCAAAATGTAGTTTTACATGACCATTTTCAACCTCATTTCTAACTCACTCTAAACAGGTGTTTGTAGCATTTCTACATGTAAATGTAAATTGGTTAATCTCAGGAAATGTTAGTGTGGTGTACCTTGTTCCAGGGCAGGTTGATATTGTAGCCCTGTCCTGCTCCTGAACCCACCGAACTGCTGTCAGACTCCTTGAGATGCGGCCAGAACGAGCCGTCTTCATATCTGTGCACGGAGAAATACAGCACACTGCCACACAGAAACACAGAGAGAGTCTTTACAAATGAGAGGCATTCAGAGAGAATAAATGTAATATGATGTTCTGGTGCTTCAGATACGGACAAATTCACCTGGGATCCTCTTCAAAAATATACTGGATTCCCTGTCCGTGATGCACATCCCAATCCACAATCAGAACTCTGATAGAAGAAAGAGTCACACCTCATGCAATAGATTCTCAAACCACAAACTTCATTAAAGACAACATGAAACGGTGTTTGCAACACATTCAGCTTCTGTAATGTTAGACATTTTCTAAATATTGAGTGGAAATAAATGTAGCACCAGACTGAATTTGATTAGTTTGGTTAATCAGATTCATGTCATTTATTCATATTTTCCATCGCTTATGCAGCCTTGGGCACATAGGTAAAAATGAGGCGAAGAAAGTCATTTTGTTTGATGAAAAAATTATGAATACATATATTTTTGTCTTTGGATTTAAAGTGCTCTGATGAATCGCTCACAATAACACCAGGAAAATGTATCAAGAAAGTAAGTAAGGTCAATTTCATAATGTCTTTAATAAATAAAAGTGTGATGGTAAAGCAAAATGCTCTCTCACCGTTTAACTCCATGCTGCTTCTGTGCGTAGCGCGCTGCTATGGCCAGATTATTAAACATACAGTAGCCATTCATCTTATCTGCATGAGCATGGTGACCAGGAGGCCTGTGTGTACAAGGAAAAAGACAGTAACTCAAACATATCAATGAATAAATCAACATAAACTTAAAATGCAGTTGCTAAGAATAACAGATGCAACGAGACCTGTTGATGGAGAAGCCGTTACGCAGCTGTGATGTCATCACTTTATCCACCAGCTGGAGAACTGATCCCACCGCCAGACAGGCGGAGGCGAAAAATTCCTGGTTGAATGAAAAAAATTCCACAAAATTAAAACCATGTTGTTAGGCAACCATAAACAAATAAACGACATCACTTTGGAAGAAGAATAGATTATTCTGATTATTATGTTTTATTATTTTTTTTCTGATTATCATTTTATAAGTCAAAACTTGAGACTGAGTGTTACAGTTATTTTATTACTTTGATTCATGCTTAAGCCCTTAATCGTCAATAATGGTGAATATGGTCAATATTGATTTCCTGCTGACTTTGAGAAACATCAGGGAATGTACCGGATTAAGATGAACACTGAAACATTGTAACTGGAGTAACAAGCAAACAATAAATTCCTGGACTGGAGGAGAGTCATGATCAGGTGACTTACAGGATGCAGGTAGACAGAATCATATTTATGAGCCAAAGTTTTCAGCTCCTCCTCTGTCATTTTCTGTGTGGATTTCATCAGCTCTACATACGCCTTCCTGTTGTATCAGGATAATACATCAGATAATCATAAAACCAACGTGATTAACAGTGTCAATCTTTATTCAAGCTTGCATATAAACTTACGTATGAACGAGTAACAGCTCATCTTCTGACACAGCTCTGGCCTTAAATGCAAAAATATCCAAAATAAAACTCAAAAACAGGAGGAATTCAGGTACAAACCTGTTAACAATAACATCATCGCTACAGGAGTATCTCTACCTCTACTTGTACGCAGCGTCCCAGCAGACCTTCCGTCTCCAGCATCTCCATCACAGCGCTCACTCTTGCTGGACACTCCGGGTGACTGAAAACAAAAACATCCAACTGTTACATAGAAACTTTTATAAACCAATACTAAGTGAACTATTTCAAATGAGGTTCATTATCAAGTATAAGTCACTAAAATCACTAAAAATAATATTTCTATTTTAATGCATCTTCAAATGAATGCTCAATTCAAGTTGATACAGACTTAATGCATACAAGAAGGTTCTGTCTTTGAATGCTTTATAGCATCTACTGGAAAGACATAAAGGGTTACCAAATGACTTTCTTAATTAAAGTTAAAAATGAGACAGAATTTTCAGTTTTAGGCAAACTATTGTCAATAAATGTAACCATCCTGAAGCATCACCTGGCATCCCAGAGGCAGTGAAAGCGAGTAAAGGCATCTACGTAGACGAGACCTGTTCCTGTTGCTTTAGTCTTACCACGAACATCCTAAAAAACATCCCAAAAACATTCAAAAAGAAATCCAAAAGCATGCAATCTAACACTGATAAAAGAAAATACTGCATGTGCATAACTGAAAATGTGCATTAGTGCCAACGTTGGGGAGCTATATTAAAATGGTCTTGCCACACCACAAGCTACTTGTAATCAAAAGTAGTTAAGCACAGTAATGCTATCGTTTTGAAATATGAAAAGCTACTGTAAGCTACTATGTAAGCTACTGGACAAGGCAAGAATTGAGAGAATTGGGCAGGAGAAGGGGGAAGAATTGCATGGAAAATAAAGTTGCGATGACAAAAATCTTTATGGTTTTAAAAAGAAACCGGCTGTTTTATTCATGCATAATGAATTTTGCTTTTAATTTTCTTTGTGAAATATAATACAGACAATTCTTGACTAGTTTCATGAGAAAACACAGTGACTGTGATTAAACGTTTACCAAGTTTTTGAGTTCATTGCTCATCTCCTCCTCCTCTTTGCTCCGATCCATTCTGCCCTTCCTCCGCGCCTCCTGTAGATTCTTCTTCTGGTTCGGATTGTTGTTTTCTCTCTGGAGAACACAAAGGTCTTTCAGAGAGATTTGCACGCAGCCTAAAACAGGAATCCAAATAAAACACTAGCTCCCACATTTAAAAATGAGCAAAACAGAACAAGACAGTGCGTAGATCAAGTGAGCAAACTTCAGGAATATCTGTGGATTATTAACCTCTGAATGAAGCTACTCATGTACCCACAGATAAAAACAGCAAATGATCAACACACAATGAAATGAACACCGTCTTAAAGGAATACTTCATCCAAAAATTAAAACATCAACACACCCTCAAGATGAGGATGAATTTGTTTCTTCATCAGATTTGGAGAAATGTATCCAATGGATCCTCTGCAGTGAATGGCTGCCGTCAGAATGAGAGTCCAAACATCTGATAAAAACACACCACTCCAGTCCATCAGTTAAGGTATTGAGAAGTGAAAAGCTGTGTGTTTGTAAGAAACAAATCAATCATTAAGGCGTTTTAACTTTAAACCTTTACTTTTGGCCAAAATACAAGTCCAGCAACAATACTTGCACTTTTCACTAGTAAATGGTGTTTGATCTGTGCACATTTCTCTCCTGATTCAGATCAGACAACTTTTTTACTGGAGAAAGCCATATTATGGATAGAGGACTCATAATTTAGCCAGAAGCAAAGATTAAAAACATCTTAATGATGGAATTGTTTCTTACAAACATGCAACAATCGCTCAGCTATTTGGCCTCTCATTCTGACGGCACCCATTCACTGCAGAGGATCCATTGGTAGCAAGTGATGTAATGCTAAGTTTCTCCAAATCTGTTCTGATGAAGAAACAAACTCATCTACATCTTGGATGGCCTGAGGGGGAGTAAACTATTTAGGTGAACTATTCCTTTAAATGGTTAACATGAATGTGTTCTGGCAATGGAATATAAACATTCTCTCACTTTGGTTTCAGATGTTCCTCTCGGTGATCGAGTAGAACCTTTGGAATCTGGAACGGGATCCATCAGTTTAGGATTTTACAGATCCACACCAAAAACCTTGAGAAGAAGATGTTGTGACAGGTGCTCAAAACATCTACGTCAAAAGTCCCAAACTGCATGTATAAGAAAGATCATATATATGGAAGAACAAATAGTTTGACGATAAATTAGAGGTTATCGCAAATGCTACACTTAGTTTTATTTTATATACAGAATAAATAACCGATAAATTTGCTGTTTTAAGTTGTGACTATGGCTAAATATAGTCATAGTGACTGAATATGACTGTATAGCAGTTCATAACATGATAGGTGTTTATATCATATTATGTTTGCAATAATAATACACAATTAAAAGAAAAAGTTACAGAATAATAAATGAAAATATATAACAGCATCTATCCATTCAATCATTCTGCTTTTGCACAAATTCAATATCAAGAGCAAAATATCTGAATATTTAACGAGATGTACAAAACAGACCATTTCATTTTCTTTCTTAAAAAAACGTCTGGAAAAAAAAAAGTAAAAAAAAAAAAGACAGATGTCTGAAGAATGTACAGAACAGGTTTTACTTACTGCTTTCAGAAATGTGTAATGTGTATAAGATATGAACAGATTTGCTGTCAGATTCTTATGCCGTTAGCAAAAGCACTCTTTGAAATTCAGATATTATATTAAAAAAAGACCAATGTGCCAGTCATTTGAGACTAAAGCTGTCTGCTTTCCTAAGTTTCCGTGACTGTTGTTATTTTCTGGACTGGACATAAAAGTGGAACATGAACGTAGCAAAATGGGGACCGCATAGCAAATACAACTGTAAGATCAATATTCACTAGAAAGGGTACGAAAAAAGCACAATAATGTTTTGTTTAGAAATGCTAACAGCTAACACGCCCAACTGTGCAGAGCAGTAGACGCGAATCTGTCTCTATGAACCATTTCCTATGAGACATAAAGCAGTTCATCCTCTAGGGGGCGCGTGGAGGCTCCGACGTCTCTAAATTACACTTATTTAAGTCTATTAAAAAAGTAAATTGTCATTTCAAATCAAGTGGTTTCTGACATACAAATAAAAAAAAATCCTTTACAGTAATTTCTATAAAAAGATAATTTCCAGTAAACACTGACGACTGTGATCGGTCCATCCTGAGCGCCTTGATATTTTCACCTGAATCTGCAAAAATTGGTCCATTTAATTGAGAATCTACTAGTAATATGGTTAAAACACAAGTCGTACACAGCGTACCAAACCAATTAATCCTCAGGCATCCTTCGGGACAAATGTGGGCAAAATCTTTATTTATTTATTTATTTAATAGTTTCCTTAATCTGAGCGGTACAAGACTTGGCTACTTTTGCCGCCTGAACACACACACAAAAGTGGACACCCATAGGAAATGAATGGGAAATTCTATAATTCAGAGCATTTTTTTTAATTTATCCAATAAAAATCAATAAATCCACAATGCAGCCTATACATCATTTTCAATGTGGCAAACACTCTCTCTCTCTCTCTCTCTCTCTCACACACACACACACACTTCAGTCAGATCAAAGTCCTACTGCAAGATTTGTTGATGATTCCAAACTAAATATGTCTGAAAGATGCTACTTGCTAGGTTTATTGTTTATTCTTACCTGTTTGGTACCATTTTACTTTTTTGAGTCATTGAAATTTGATGTTTTTTTGTTAGAAATAAATGCTTACTCTGTCTCCTACTTTGTCTATCTATTCCTTATAGCATGGCCAGATTTGTCTGTAAGCATAGTTTAGCATCTTTGTGTAGTCTCACCCAACACAAATTTTTTTTTTTTTTAATTATTATTCTACAATTTTAACTTGTGATAAAATCTAAAACTTAAGAGGAAAACTTCGTTCCAACTATGGTTTATAGATTTCAGCCTATATCATATGCAGCCATTGAGTACTACAGCCAAATAGTGGCTATTGATATTTTTGATATTTTTATACCATCATATGCCACCAAAGTCACCAGATTTTTAGGTTTTGGGGCTGTCTGAATTTACTGGAATTATTTTGTTTTTTAATGAAGTAAAAAAAATATTGAATATAACATAAAATTATAACAAAAATTGTTTTATATTTATGTATAACAATAATATATTTAAATATAACAAATAATTGGGATCACACCTGAGACCTTTGCCACGAAGGACCAATTAAAGCTGAGGATTAAACAGCACTTCCTCGTCGCTACGCCCCGCCCTTGCTGAGCATTTTACATTAACCACCATTCTTCCCCTTTATTTTTCTCCTAGGCGCGCGAGCAGGCGCACTGAAATGACGCAGAGCGCGTGGTCGCTTGCAGTCTGTGCGGAAACGCTGGAGGTCAGTGCTGCGTATTTACCAAAAGTTGTGATTATGATATGACAAAATTTTTATTCGCCTGACACGAGACATTTAATTAACTTCTCAAAGAAAGATTTAAAGATATAATTATACACACAATTTACAAGTACACCCTGGTTCTTTCTATTTTAAAAAAAAAAATCTGTCTTTTTTCCCCTCTTAATTTATGTGAGCAGTCAGGGGCCAACTTGTACAATAATACAATATTTGAAGTATGCCATTCCATTCAATTCAATTCAAGTTTATTTGTATAGCGCTTTTCACGATACAAATTGTTGCAAAGCAGCTTTACAGAAAATTAAGTTTCTACAATATATTTAGTAGTAGCTTATCAGTGGTGACTGTCAAATTGATGTACATATGGCAGAAATGTACGGTAAAATTCAGTTAATGATGTAATCAAACAGACCATGAACACAATTAACAGCACTGATTATATGTTGCAATCAAACTTGTAGCAAAATTTGGTAGTTTATGTTGTTTCGGGGTTGGCATCATCTGAGGTCCTCTGAGGAGTTTGCATCATCTCTTCTCAGGTGTTCGGTCATCTCAGGTCTTTGTAAGAGCTGGATCCAGACTGAAGCTTGTGGCAGAAACAGAGAAACAAATAGAGACATAATTAGCGTAGCTTCTGTTCCAACCAAGCAAAAATTATTTGTTCAACCCAAGCTAAGGAATAATAATGTGCATTTGATCAGATATAACTGCAGTACAAGATTATGAGATGCATTATTTGAATGCTTGGCCAAAGAGATGTGTCTTTAATCTAGATTTAAACAGAGAGAGTGTGTCTGAACCCCGAAC